CAATAGAATTATATTATTAAAGCCGTGTCATCTAGCAAAAAAATCTTCTTTTTTTTTTCTTCCTGCTTAGAAAAAACATTTTACGGTTACACATCATCAAAGTTGATCGGATTTAAGATTCAGAAACATTTGTGGTATAATAAATAATTCTAATATAATAATTGTGTTATAATAAGAAAAATACATGCGAGGACATGACCATCAAGGATAACTCTATTCTTAAGTTATATCACCCAACCATGGTCAAGCACATAGCCCCAGTTTTATGGTTCAATCTTTTAATGGCCATGGAAGGAATGTCACATAAATCTGACACCGGTGCGACGATGTGGACTGTGCCCGAGCTGGTATCCCTCTTTCTATAAGCATCCACATTACAACAACCAGCATGAGAACTCACAACCATGACAGATCGGACTCATGATCCCCAGCTCTCCACTACCATTGTCAACAATGCCTTAACCGACTAGGAGAACATTTATTGTAATTTCACCATCTAAATTCTAATTCTTCCGCTACCGATCTACTGTGAAATCTGAGTCGAAGAAAATTTTGCAGGAGTCCAGTTGGAGTCGGCTTCGTATCTGGCTTTTCAAAAAATCAATTCTTTATATTAAATTAAAAAAAACATTTGCTGGTCTTGTGAAAATTTGGGAAAAAATATATTTATGATTACTTTATGAACAAATATTATTTAAACGAATAGTCTGACATTTATTTAAATTGCAACTTATTTAAAAAAAAAATTTGATTTGCTACATTTGAACGTTTTTAAGAAGTTGTATGATTGACTTGCTTTAAGTTTGGAATTCACACACAATCTTGGAATAAACATTCCTCTTTTTTCGGCGGATTTAGATCGTAATCTAAAAAATAATGTTCCCATTGGTTTAATTTGGAAAGTGCTCATAGCTTTCATCCTTTTATGTTAATTTCATTTTTCACGAATTTATATTTATAACTTGTTTAAACTAATTAAAAGATTTTTTCTCACAGTTATAAAACATTTTTATCCAAAGATGTTTTCACACAAATAATAATAATTTCATTATAATAACAAATAATAATTTCATAAAATAATTTTTAGTATTTATTTATAATTTTTTACTATGATATATAATTCAGTAATGATCGAAAAAATTTTGAAAAGTAAAGCATTTAAATTTTTACTTAAGTTTTGAACTATGCAATTTCAAATGTACAAAAATGGAACATAATAGGTCAAATAGTGTCTGAATAATAAATTTCAAAAAATTGATGTTTTTAAATTATCATTTAAGATCTATAGAAACGTTACCCTTTTAATTTTGGAAGTCATTTAGAATTACATAATTTAAATCATTTCATGCTTCAGAATTTGAAAATTTTTTTAAATGATTAAATAAATTTTTTTATAAAAAGGGGCTAAACTATAAAAGGGGCTATCTTTAGGGGCTAAACTAACTAAACTCAGTGGTGCGACATCACATAGAGGACCAAGGCCTACTGTGCCCATCTCAGTTTTCTTGTCCTTAGGCCCGACCCGAGGATTGAATCCGAGACCTGTGGCACAGGAGCGCGAAGCACTTCCTGTCAGCCACCGAGTGTCTTCTTTAAAGTCTATTTTTGGATAAATGAGCTTTATAATTTTGTACAAAAGGTTCTTGGTTCGCTTAAATAATTGAAAACACTACTGGGCTGCGCCCCCTGCTCGCTAACGATCGCCAACCCCGAAAATTGCTACGCAATCTTATATGGTTTACTTCGCAAACCAAGATCGCTTCGCTCGCTAATAACTTAGGTACATTGCAAATACACAAAATTCTAAGAATTCAAAACAATCATTCAAATCCATGTAACAAAATTTTTTTAAAGAAACATTTCATCTTTTTAGTAAATACTAAGTTTATAAAATAAATTTGAGTTCAAATAAATGACATGCAATTCGTTAAACCTATTAGAAATGTGCTATAGTATAAAATCTTAAAGCGTAACAGCACGACTGATTTTTCAATGAATAACTAATAACAATAATAAAACAAATAAATTCGTGATATAAATCAAAAATCGTCAAATAAATTCGTAATATATAAATTCGTGAAAAAAAGCGCTTTCGACAAAATACTAAAATAGAGATCTATCGACAAGGACTACTCACTTCTGCCTAGCCTAAGGTTATTTCTGTTTCCGTTTCTAAAAGCGCTGTATGTTGAGCCACCTCAGCTAGATTTGTCATGTGACATTTTTAGCGGCAATCATTGGTCGATTTTCTAGCGTTGCCATTTGGGGAGTTGTAATGAGGCTTTTTTTGTCACCGTGTAAGAGAAATATATATATAGATTTCGAAATGCGAAAAAAAGCGAAATTAACATAAAGAAACATAAAATATTCACAGCTTTCCTGCCTAACCTGTTGGAATCATATTTCTCAGATTGTATTTTTAGAGCCAAAAATTCAAACACACCAATGAAAAAAATTTTATTTGCAGAAAATACATTTTTGTATCTGATTTTGTAACTTAAGATATCCCCTTTTCTTAATTAGCATGCTTGAACACTGAGTGTTGATACGTGAAAAACCGATCATTCAACAAAAAGTTTTTCAGAGTGTCCACTTTTCTTATTTGCACACCGTGCATAGTTATTTACGATCCTAACCATAAAAACTTTATTTAATTTTCAAAAATGTGAAAAGTATACAAAATGCAACGTTTAAGAAAATAAAAATTACATAACAAATGAACTGTAAAGTAATTTAGCATTAAGATCATTTTTTTAAAATTTTTAATGCACATGATTAAAAACTGAGAAATTTTTAGAAAATATATTTATAAAAAAATATTGAAAATTTTAATCAAAAAAATTTTTTTGTCAGTTTCTTTTTAAAATTTTTTTAATTAAAAATATGTTTAAATAAAGGTATTTTTAACGTGAGAAAAATTTAAGTACTGCTTTTGGTGGAAGAAACCAATGGTAATCACCTTATTTTGATATCAACTTCTTTTTAAAAATAAGGAAATAAAAAATAATTTATAACTTGATAAAACAATTTAAGTTTTTTAAAAAATTTTTTGAAAAGATAGTACGCTTAGCCCGGTCACTAGAACATATTAATTAAACATTACTGACTAACCAACATTTCCACTTGAAACTCATATGTAAATTAAATAAAAAAAAGGATAACAGAATATTTTCTAGAAAACAATTAAATCGTTAAATTATCTTTATTAACAATCTTTGACATCTGAAGAAGAGAACATCTCTATAAGAAAGTAGTAACCTTAAAATACGTTGGTGTGTACAGATGGAATAAATAAAATAAATATTCAAAAACTTATCATAATTAAACTTGTAGCTTAAAAAAGCTTACGGACCACTCTGCGGCTTGCAAGAGTTACAATTTGACGTGCTAAAAAGCCGTTTTTATTTATGAACTCAGCCTGAATTTTCCTTCTTTTTTTTTTCAAAATTCAAATTTGTTCAAAAATTATGGCTATTTTTAAGTGCTTCTTCAGCGAACTTTTTCTCTCTTTTCTTGCTTTAAATAATGACTATTTGAGCATTGTCGTAGAAAATTTCATTACTCTCGTGACTTTTTTGTTACACATTTTTTCTATTTTTGAAAAGATTAAAAAAATTATTCATCGTTCTCATTTTATATGCTTGTTCTTTAATTGATCATGAACGTAACAAAAATATTGCCGTATATAACAATTCAACATTTACATTAAAATGTTTAAAAATGTAAAAAATATTCAAAAGTTTAGGAAAGATAAAAACCGTTTCAAATTTGAATTAATGTAATGACATTCGATAGATATCGTAAACGGATAAAATTACTTCTATTTCACACATTGTGTTTACTTAAGCTTAATTTTTTTTTTCATTTTCAGCTAATTAGATTTCAAATTCATAAAATGATTCATTTCGTCGTTATTAACATATTAACGAATTGTGTTTACATAAAATCATAATAATTTTAAATTTTGTTAATCAACTTATAAAAAACGATAAATTTGAAGCGTGAGAGAATGAGAAGAGATCGAGCAATGTGCAGATTCGTCAGTAAATAATAATAAAACGCCACAACATTTTAAGTCATAGGTTTCAAAAACTGCATCCATTGGTTTTTGTCGTCTGAAGGGCTGGACTGGTTTTAAATGTTATTCCTGTAAATGTTTCTTAAGCCGACGTGAAATCTTTTTTTCCTTCTCCAATACTCACATTTATATTTTATTTTATTTAATAACCGTCGTTAAACAACCGTCCCGATTTCGGCTTTACGACTTCTAATGTTCAACTTTGTAGCCTTGTAATTTAGAAATCAATCAAGAAGACAAAGCAACTCTTGGGTCAAGTACTGGGAAAAAACTGCCTTCTTAGAAGATTTTTGAAGGAATTAACCCACATTTTCGTTACATGGAGAGTAAAACCACGACTAGCCTGACGGCAAGGAGACTCTAACCCATGATCCATCTATAACTGAAGATATTTTACGCCAGAACTGTGGTCGGTGCGAGTGGAATTCGTATTCAACCAGAATTCAAAGGAAGGCTTTATCCCCTGAGCAGCCTCACCTCTCATATTTATATTTAGATCCAAGACAATTATTATGAATTTTGAAAGGAACATAAAAATAATTTAATATGCACCATCAAGTTCCAAAATTATCGTCTGAAATTTTTTGTGCTGCTTTTTTATTAATGCTCATTGCTTATGTTAGCCGGATATTTTATAATTCTTATAACTCTTGTGATCTTGTAATTGTGGTGTCTTGTGATCGAGTCATACATGAAAAACCTAGAACAACACCCATTTTCCAAAAAGCGATGGTAATCTAGAGAAAAACTTGTTTCCTTATTTTTCTGATACAAAATAAAAGTAATATATTCCCGTGAAGGATATACAACTTCTCTTCTGATAAGGAAAAAAAAGGGGGGAGCTAAATGAAAAAAAATCTAAACAAGCAGAGATCAACTATAAGCTATTCGAAATTGATAATGTGGATAAAAAACTGAAAGTGCGAAGAAGGAAAACGGCAGAAGATGTCTGGACTAGTCTTTAGAAGGAGACAATTTCTACTTCTTCTTGAGGCAAAAGACGGGGTGTAAACTTTGTACCTTCTCTTATCTTATCACAGATATATGTATAAATTATTTTATTTTTTTTAAATAATAACTGAGAAACATCCCGAATGTCAAAATTATAGCAAAGTAGAAAGGAACTGCGATTCATCTTGACATTTCAACTGGAAAACGAGGGAGAAAAAACGAAATCCAAAGTGAACCATTCACACTTCAAAAAAAGTAAGTGATTCAAAACTTAAAATAGTTCGTATTAATAACTGCAAATAAAATTTAAAAAATTATCATACATTTCTCATTTTTATATACTTTTACTTATTTCTTTTATTGCGCATTGAATAAATTTCTGAATAATTCAAATGAATAATTTAAGCAATATTTTTATTACATTAATTTTCGTAATTAGTTATTTTGTGTACATTAATTGGTGTCAAAAAATTGTCGTCTCTCAGAGTCATAAGTACTCATTATAGTTACTACCTATGCCTACATTCAATAAGGACATGCATTTAAAGTAGATTATCTAATAATGTTAAGGCATAGGAAAATTTTGCCCTTCTATTATTCTAAAACTATATATATATATATATATATAGCTGTGAAGTAAGCTCATTTGTATGTGTTTTAATTGTTTTATTCAACAAAATGAAATGCTTGGAATTGAAAACGGTTAAGAAAATCGAAATTTAGAGAATCATTCAAAAACTTAGATAGACAAAATAAAAAATTTGGAGTTTTACGGAAAATTATGGTAAGAAAAATTATTTCTTTATTTTTGAAAAAAAAATTTTTCTTTGAAACTAATAAAGATTCTTGTTTCAAAGGCTTACTATATAGAAGAATATTTACACCACGAAGAATTTATTCTGAACTGTTCGAATCGTTGATATTGGCAAATGTAACTATTAAATTGAAATTTGCAATTAATTTCTTACAAATGAGTAAAGTTTTAGTTTGTTTTTTATTTGTTTAGTTCTTTTTCTGTGCGTGTAAAAATATTTTCATGCAAATTAAAAAAAACTGGTACCCAGCAATAGATTAATACCAGACTAAATTTTCATTAACTGTGTTACGACCAAGATAATGAATTTCAGTACCTGGTACCAAGTAACCACCAATTATGCTGGATATCCAACGTCCGATAATAATCGTCAATGCTTAATACAAATCAAGTTAAGATATATACAAGTATTAAGCTTAAAATTATTAAAAATAAACAGTAATTGATTTTGAAACCCATGTAGTCTATCAGTTTCTTAATGATTATAGCTGAAACTATTAATTCAAGCTCAATAGTTGTGCTGTTTAACACCGATTAGTTAAATAAACGGAAATCAAAACTTACTAAGACTTATTGAAAACAAAATAATTTTCATCCCAGTAATTGTTAATTGAGAGTAAAAATTAATAATTTATTTTGAACTCTGAAAACGTTTTTTAAACATTTTAAGAATTGAAAATTTATAAATACTGCAACTTTAATGCATAAAAAAATCAAATTTTAAAATAGTTATTAGTAGGTAAGATTTATTTTTCTTAATTTACTACGTTACCTCTAACAGTAATTTTTACACAATACAAAGGAAATTGAAGATATAAAGAAAAGTTCTGATGAAATACATTTGTACAAGTTAAGAAAAGACCATTGCGGTATAAGATTTAAGTAATCATCCCCGATTGTTTATAGTTCCGCTTTATTTCTTTATCAAATTATACAAATATACTTTTAAAAGCAATGTAAAAGCTTTCGAAACTTAAACACGTGAGGCAAAAATTTCATTCGAGCAATGTTTTGCGATATATATTATCCTAGACAATACTGAAATACGTTCACGCTGGGATTGGCATTTGGCGTGCACTTAGAACGCAAACAAGCTACCTCCATAAGTAGAATGGTTTTTTCTTAACTTGAAACAGAGTATAGTAAGTCTACTTAATTTCAAAAAATAATTAGTTTTAAAATAGTTACGCATTTTGTGTTAAAAACTATTGGCAGGTTTAAAAAAATATCCATAGGTTATACACTATTTGGAAGAAAGTGACGGGACTATAACGACATAAGCCCATATTTATTAAAATTAATAGGAGGCAGGGCCTCCTTTGGCTGCGATCACAGCTGCAACCCTTCTAGGCATGCTTTCCACTAAATTAGCCATAATGGCAAGAGGAATTTCCTTCCAAATGCTTAACAGGAAGTTCCATAGTTCATGCTTGCTTTTGGGGAGTGGGGTGCAGGCCCTCAACCGACCGACGATCCAATTCGTCCCAGGGATGTTCAATTGGGTTAAGATCAGGGCTCTGCGCCGGCCACTCCAAGCGTTTAATGTTGTTGTTCACATACCAATCAAGAGTCCTCCTTGCAACGTGGGATCTTGCATTGTCGTCTTGATACAAGCAATCATCCATACCGTACGTTGCCCACAAGGTAGGAAGGGCATGATTGTCGAGAATATCACAGTATCCATCGGCATTCATCATACCATCAACCTTCACCAGTGGGCCAGTCCCATACCAGGAGAAACAGGCCCATACCATCTATCCTCCTCCACCAAACTTTACAGTTGGGACGACACTCTCGGGCAAAAGGCGTTCTCCTGGTAAACGTCATACCCAAACACGCCCATTGGAACAGAAAAGGGTAAATCGTGACTCGTCACTCCAAAGGACGCGTTTCCAGTCATCAAGAGTCCAAGTACGGTGGTCTTTGGCCCATCGAATTGGCGCTCCCTTGTTGGTTTTCGTAATCAAAAGCTTATGGGCCGCCGAACGTCCAGTGTAACCTAACTTATGGGCCTCGATACGAAGAGTCTTGGTCGAAACGACCACACCTGTGGCTTGTCTAAACTCATTAGCAATGTTATCCATGGATGTTTGACGGTTACTTCGAATCTCCCTGCCGAGCACTCGCCGGTCCCTGCTGGTGAGAACTGTAGGTCGTCCACTTCGGGGTTTGTTCTAACAGTGTCCCTCAGTCTTGTAGCAACACAAAACACGTGAAACAGTTAATTTTGAGCAGTTACGGAGACGGGATATCTCCCTAATTGACACATTGGCAAGATGTAATCCAACTAGCACACCTTTCTCGAACTCAAACAGCTCTTTCCGTGGCGGCATCTTCACAAAAACAAATCTAGTCAACTCCACAGAGTATTTGTAGGATATGGCTGACACGACACGTGATACCTATTATTGCGCATGCGTCAGCTGTATTGTCGACTTTTCTACTTTTCGAGGGGTGTCCCGTCACTTTCTTCCAGATAGTGTACATTACATTTGATAGCAATGTAAACAAGTTTAAATTCGCATTCAGTGAATGAATGCTTATCATTTCGGTTTGAAAACTGTAAAATATTTTAGCGTATCTCAACAGAAAAAATGATGGCAGCTACTTTACATCAAAATGATTTAGAGCAGTGTTTCCCAAAGTGTGGTACGCGTACCCCCAGGGGTACAGGAACAGCTTAGCGGGGGCACGCGTTCTTATGCGAAATATCTTACAACGAACGAAAATTTAAAAAAAAATTATTAAAAAACAAGACTAGTCACGAAAATTTACGATTAAATATTTTTCTATTGGCTATTTTTTACAGATTTAACAGTTAATAATTAGTGGTGTCAGCATGTTGTGATTTTTAACTTTTATGCAATTTTTTTATAGTGAAAATTACATTCATTTTTTTACTAGTGGTACACAGCGTTACGAAAAAATTAGAAAGGGTACACAAAAGTCATAAGTTTGGGAAACACTGATTTAGAGGAACACTATACATTACTTTTGAATCTGGGTTTTTCGCATTGCATCAAGGATGATTTTTAACATTACTTTTGATGTTAAATAGCTGCAACCATTTTTGTAACTGTATCCATTTAATAATGCTGAAATTTATATTTAAAGTAAGATATGATACGCATATTTATTTGTAAGTTATTTTTACCAGACAATTTTAAGTAAGAATCATGCATTCATATAAGATGCATATAAACAATGCCTCTTCAAATAAAATTTGTTCCCTAATCAAACATACACACAGCACAGAGTGACTATGATTACGAACTGGATTTAAAAGAACAAAAGTGTATCAAAATACTATATAACAAAATTATGCAATATAATAGACAGATTATTCTAAATCTTTTTATGAGAATATAATTATCTTTATTATACAACTAGATAAAAATGAACAGGCCTTTTATAAGAGTTTGGTACTGCTTCTCCGTAAAGTTAAGTATCGTGCAAGGCGAAAGCAACCTTCTCGTGCTCTAATTGTAAGCAAATAGCTGATGTTGTCCGACGGCTTGCAAATGTACACTGTAAAAAATTTCGAGTTGTGCTGCGACAAACATTGGTATTCATATGCTGGCTACATAAAGTGGTGCTCAGTTTTACTATATATTGGTGCTTTCACTAGCTCCAAACAAGGAGAGAAGGTTTTGAAGGGAACTAAAAACGAGGAAGGTTGCATTATTAGATATTTTTAAAGTGCTAAGAAGCAGGGTAAGTTAGCATCATTATTAAGTATTTTTAAAGCGCCAAAAAGCAGAGAAAGTTAGCACCATTATTAAATATTTATAAAAAAAAAAGAGGAGAAGATAATTTAAATCAAATTTATATGAACCGAATTATAATTTATTTATTTAAGTCTATAAAAATTTAAAAAAAACTTTTTTTCTTCTAGATGTGCTATGTTAAATTATCTTCTCTTTTTTTCATAAATAATTAATAATGATGCTAAATTTCTCTGCTTTTTGGCGCTTTAAAAATGTTTCCTTTCATATAAAAATATTTTCTTTCTTCCAGTTGATGTACGTAAAATTAAAATTCTTTTTTACATTTCAATCGTTAAAGCACCAAGAGATGCTTTAGAGTTAGTACCACTAATGTTTTAAGGAGAGAAAAAAATTAATTTTAATTTTAGGCTGATGCAAATTCTTATTACTAAGTATTTCGAAATTATTTTATTATTTAAAAGCGAAAGTATTACTTTCCCAATTAAAAATTTATATAAAAGAGTAGACAAATATTGGATCGATCGAACCCCAATCTCTAATTAAGGAAACACTGCAATATTAATTACATTTGCTTATGGAAATAATAAATTTGAAATAAGTTAAATGTAAAGATAATGACATAACTTGGAAATATTAACATAAAAATATACAGATCCAGATCAATATTCAAACATAATTTATTCAATTACAATCACTTTAATACTTGTATACATTGACAGAATGTAATAATTTTTATGCAAACTCTTACAATTTAAATATATTATTCTTTTTATACACATCACAGCACTCATTAAAAAAATACAAAATATTCACTGAAAAATATGATAGTTAGTATGTTTTTGTTACTAAGAGAGTGTATTCTATTCAAACTTATTTTTAGTTTACAGTAGTTTAGAATAAAAATTATGTTAGCATATGCCTCAATGTTAACAGTTTTAAAATTTGGGATCATCTGAAAATAATTTTCAATAATTAAATAAGATACTAAATTTCTTGATATACTTTGCCTCATCTGAATTAAAATTTACAATCAAAACTTACTACTTGATAAAAAAGATTAAAATTTCACTCAGTTTGGAAAAAAATACTGTCATTTTTAACAAATTAGTAAATGGTGGTGAGTATTTGAGAAAAAGCAATATTTTTATTATATATTCATTATTGTATATTTATTATTATAGATTTTCTGGTGCTATTGCTTTAACTACGACACATTTTTCAGTTGATAACCCTTAATGTAAAAAACGCAACAAGATTTAAAAAGATTACACACAAATAAAACTTTGCAGTCCTTTCACAAAATAATAATTGTTTTGCCAAACACAGATTCTTCGCCCTAAAAACTTGAAACTATATACATTCCTTGTTTGTAAGAGGTTCTTTATTCTAGTACTTTTGAAGTTTGAAAAAATTGTTTATAACCTTCTAGAAATCTGGTAATTTCGGCAGAATAAATGTCTTTATCAATAGGTTTGTCACTGGTTATAACAATATTTTTTCCTGTGCCTCTTTCTAGACTAAAATCATTGAAGTTGTTGGTGCCTTTGTGCTGATGAAAGAAGATTATAAATTCTGTAATTTATGCTAATAAATGTATAGGAATTGAAATAACATAAAATTTAAATTCTTACTTTTTTAAAAACATTGAAAGATCAATCAAAGCAAGTCATATTTTAATTGCTATTTTTAAAGTACAATATTTAAATAATTGTGAAAATATTGTTCTTATGCAAAAAAAAAATTTTAAAACATTTCACCATCTGAAATATGTTTCGAGATCAACTATTTATTCGAGGGGGGAGGGGGGATATTTTTATCTTAAGCCTCTTTTCACTCACAAAAATCCTGGAAAGGAGAGGAAGGTTCTGATATTTAAAATATTATTATTATTTTATTTTATTTATTTATTTTTGATGATAAAATGTGCCTAAGCACCTAAGTAGAATTTCTCCGCATGAGAAATTATGAATTGGATTTTATGCATTGCGTCCCAGGAAAAAAATTGCAGAAGGAACTGTCAACTGTTAAAATATTAAATGAACAACATCATAATCACTTGGATAGATCAAAGAGTTAGTGTTGACACTAAGATGGCGGGAAATGGCAGCTGATAAACACACAAGCATTATTCATATGGATGGTATTAAAACTCCTGATGTATACTGTTTGTGAGGATTATCCTTTTTACTAAATTTCTTTTGGTTCATAAAAGCAGAAATATTTCAGAATAAAAAAAAATGACTTATAATTTTAAAAAAAACCTTTCAAAAAATTATTATTAAAAAAAAACTATAAATATTATAAAGAATACATATGACCTTTTTCATGATCAATGAAAACATTTGAATTCATGTTTATGTTGGCTTCCCCTCCCCTCACAAAATACTAATGTAGGCTAAAGTAATATGCATATATCTACAACAAAAAAAAACGATTGCATGGAAAAATAATTATCGAAAGCAAAGAATTTATGAGCATCTAAGTATTTTTTCTTATTTAGATTTAATAAAAAAATATGCAATAACTTTTTAAATCCGATATTTTGTTTCATTTAAAAATTTGTTTCCCTTAGTTAAATATTAAGAAGAAAAATCTGTTTTTTTTTGTTTTTTTTAAATCATAATAAGAAATCAACATTTCTAAATGATATGAAAAATCTTATTCTAGTCGGTATTTTGTTCAAATTTCAGTAAGATTCCTGGCGAATAAACAAATGTAGCGCTTTGTTTTCTTTAGCGCCAATATTCTTCCTTTCCTACCTTGTGCACCCAACTAACTTAAAGAAACCCAGTTTCCATGACAACGGCTTGAGGTGAAGCGGAGTATAATTTGATTTGAAAGTTTTACTACAAAAGCATTTAAGAATGCATAGACAAACATTCGTGTAATTATGTGACATTACAAACGAAAGTGAGCAATACAGAACATGATGATCAAAACAGAAGCACAAATATTGATAAAAAGTTTCAATCATAACAGAAAGTACTTATTAGTATTTTTTTGTTCCTGTTCGGTAGAATGCAATTAAAACACGAACCAAGAAAATTTTCACCGGCAGTAAATTAGGCGGCAAAGCTATGCTGCTTACAATTGCTGTATTTATCATTCATTTGTCACTAGTATTGCACTTCTGTGAGGATAAAATGGATGTATCTTCTTATTTACTGAAAAAGAGCTAATATAAATTTTAAAATATTTAATTATTCATACAACGAATATAGTTTCCTCGAAAAACTTTGAAACTAACTCGTTCAGAACACACAACAAAATTTTTAAAGATGATATGAAAGAAATGAACTGTAATTATTACAAATAAATAGGAAAAGTTTACTTACCTGCAAAAGAAATAGACAATTTCAAAAACAACTTGCATAAGATGATAGCAATCTTCGAAAACAAAATCGTCCATTAATCAACAGTTACAAAATAAGTTATCAGTCACAGTTTAAAGTTTGTGCCTCTCATAGTACGAAAGTTAGGTGCAATCGACTGCGCCTTGAATGTATTTCTCGATCATATTTACCAATTTATGGTGCAGCCTAAATAAAACAATTTTTCATTTAACCAATTTATGGTGCAATTAGAAACTTTGCACCAAGTATTGGTTAAACATTTACCGGTTTTTTTTAATAGTGTACTCCGAAATGAGCGAAAATAATTCCTGAATGTCGTTTACATAAAATCAGATTAGAAGTCTTCACTTAAACAACATCAAGTTATGTCAGAAGTTTCTAACTTTTTCGGAATAAACTGTCTGTGGTGGAACAAATCATCCGATTTGGCAAAAAATTGTGCGAATGAATTCGTTATTTCAAGTTAACACCAAATTAAGTCTTCATACACACTTTAGATAGTGAAATCTCAACACCAATAATGGAGATCTTACACCAAACTCACGCGCAATCATACCATTCGATTTTAAGTAGTTTAGCCACCGGAAAACACCCATTTTGGCGTACTTTGGATGCCATTAGTAGAATGTTCACTATCAAGTGCGAGAAGGTGCGAGATTTGTAGAAGTCTTGCTGCTCTACATCTAACGAAACAGAAGTCCCTCGTTACAAAATGTATCTATGATCTCTGCCGTGTGATGAAAATAATTATATATTATAATTTTTAAATATAATGAGTTAAATAATTTTCAAAAACTTTATTTCTATTTGCTTCTTTTCTGTAAAGTCTAACTTAAGTTCATAGTAATAATCGCCACCATGCTGTTTGATTTACAAACTCATTTCATTTTATCAATTATAGTATTCGCATGCTAATTGTTATTATTTTAAATTGTAACGTAAAAATAACTTGACTAGCTCTTTTATGTGTAGCATATCTTATTGTTATTATAAATTTTATTGTTGCTACACAACGAAAATTGTAGTGACTAATTTGCACAAAATATAGTATAAAAGAACATTCCTAGTGTTTCATTGTATTACAGAATTAGACGGAAAAAATGGGAAAATAACCATGGGTTCCATCTGTTGCTATACAAATCTAAATCCTTTTGATGTCCCTGACCTCCCCTTCAAGTTTATTCCTTAATCCTGGGATACCCTGCATAATAAATTAAACGAAGTATAATTGTTTGCAAACATTTTTAAAGGTTTAGTTAGACAAAGCATAAATGTAAATAAACTACCATTTCGTTCTAGTTTATTTATAAATCGTCAGTATTTTATTTGTTTATAAATGTTTTTATTTCGACAACTATATTAGGATAAGCGCTTGACAATGCTGTTAAAATAAACAATGCTGCTTCCTAGCAATAGTTGTATTCAGAAAAATATGAGTAGAGCTTTAACGAAATTTGACGAATTTCTGAAAGAAAGCATACTTAAAAAAAATCTTTGCGTGCCACTCTCCGCCGTTCACGTTTCGGAAATACCTAAATTACATACCACAAGACACTTGTGCATTATATATATACTTCTACCATTCTAATAACGTTCAGTTTGTTGGAAATGTCTTGACATACAAAGATAACAACAGATGTTGGGGAATGTAATGAGAGATATTGATTGAGAATGATGATATTTAATTTACTTTTATTTTCAGGATGTATAAAGAAGACGAAATAAAGAGGACCTCCAGTCCTTTAACCACGCGTACCACGCCAGAATACTTTTATCCCTGCATATTAGACAAGCAAAGAAGAAAATCTTTACCAGGTAAGAAAAGATATTTTACATGGAAAACTACACAAATGCTGATCATCATCATCATATGTGTTACCGTGAATGACCGAAATCAAGAGAATGTCAATGAATCACACAGTCGTTTTAGTCCGAATTATTTCATATTAATTTAATCGTAGATATTATTATATTTATCCGATATTTAAATATCTGCTGAGGACAGATAAGGAGAAACATCAGTGTTCGGAGTACCAGGCAAATGTATACCGGCCAGTGGCACTTAACTAGACCTAGTATATATATTTCGGACATTTATAGTCAACATTCACTGGTGGAAGTCAGCAACCACCAATATATATATATATATATATATATATATTGGTGGTTGCTGACTTCCACCAGTGAATGTTGACTATAAATGTCCGAAATATATATACTAGGTCTAGTTAAGTGCCACTGGCCGGTATACATTTGCCTGGTACTCCGAACACTGATGTTTCTCCTTATCTGTCCTCAGCAGATATTTAAATATCGGATAAATATAATAATATCAACGATTAAATTAATATGAAATAGTTCGGACATTCACTGAAACGACTGTGTGATTCATTGACATTCTCTTGATTTCGGTCATTCACGGTAACACATATGATGATGATGATCAGCATTTGTGTAGTTTTCCATGTAAAATATCTTTTCTTACCTGGTAAAGATTTTCTTCTTTGCTTGTCTAATATGCAGGGATAAAAGTATTCTGGCGTGGTACGCGTGGTTAAAGGACTGGAGGTCCTCTTTATTTCGTCTTCTTTATACATCCTGAAAATAAAAGTAAATTAAATATCATCATTCTCAATCAATATCTCTCATTACATTCCCCAACATCTGTTGTTATCTTTGTATGTCAAGACATTTCCAACAAACTGAACGTTATTAGAATGGTAGAAGTATATATATAATGCACAAGTGTCTTGTGGTATGTAATTTAGGTATTTCCGAAACGTGAACGGCGGAGAGTGGCACGCAAAGATTTTTTTTAAGTATGCTTTCTTTCAGAAATTCGTCAAATTTCGTTAAAGCTCTACTCATATTTTTCTGAATACAACTATTGCTAGGAAGCAGCATTGTTTATTTTAACAGCATTGTCAAGCGCTTATCCTAATATAGTTGTCGAAATAAAAACATTTATAAACAAATAAAATACTGACGATTTATAAATAAACTAGAACGAAATGGTAGTTTATTTACATTTATGCTTTGTCTAACTAAACCTTTAAAANTATATATATATACTCAGAGCTAAATTTTGATTTTTGAATTAGAGTTTAAAGTTTTTATTTATTTATTATTTTTTTTACTCTATTGCTATGTGCTATTTTATTTATTACGATGTATATATTCGTTATAGATTGTCAATAACTCTTTCAAAGTTATAATTACAAAATAGAACAAAAAATTCGTAATTAATAGTAGTTTTTGGAACTCTCCTCAGACTTTAAGTTTTCGTAAAATTATTTCTATAAATTTTCAAATTCTGATTTCTAATTATTTTAGCAAAATCTATAACCCATTATAGAGCTCCAATATCTTAAAACTATGTTCCTAAACCATGTGCTAACAATAACTAAAAATTTTTATTTTTACTACAAACTGCACGTGCACCTATATTATAAATTTTTATATCATTTTGTTATTTTAAATTTTAAAAGATGCACTATAACAACTGTGATAATTTTACTCAACGAAATATTCAAACTGAAAATTAAAAACACAAAATCAATAGCGGTTTTTTTCAATACATAATGTAATTCTATCACTTTACATTACTAAGAAACCTATTTTATTTTATGATAAAGACATGGAATTGCTGTATTATCATCACTAAATTATAATTAAATTAAGTTTAGTGTTTCACAAGAAAATGCATAAAAATAACTATAACTTATCAAATAGTAGAAGTGGCAATTAAAATGCTTATAAGAAAATAATTAATTAAAATTGCGAAATAGTGTTAAACATTCATATTTTCGCACTATTTCTAAATAGTCTCTTTGATGAAAACTATTTATCTAGTTGAAAATTAAATAAAAATTTATGAAGCATGCTTGTTCATAAAGATGTAATGAAAGCGAAAATGATTTATTGATGATTTCTAACCCTATAATTCAGGGTTTTGAACCCCCCTTAGCAAATTACGTTTCTGACGGATTTTATTGTTGTTTTGCAGAGAAGCATTCCGGTGTAAAATATCAGTTGTTAAGTCCAGTGATGTACGAAGAAGAGATGAAGAGCTATCCGATCACCACTCGGACAATGCCCGAATACTTCTATCCATCCATAGCTGAGATTCACAAAAGAAGGAAATCCTTCTCGGGTAATTCATAATTTCTTTTATAAAATAATATCCTTCAGAGTTGATCATTTACTCCTCCATTCAGTCTTCAATTCATTTATCCTTATTGGCTTAAAATTTTTATCAAAAGTGCTTAGAAAAATACTTCTCCCGTGAATAATTATCTAATGAATACACCCCATCGAGAATGAATATTAGTGAGTCTTGATGAGTCGCACACGGACTAACAAGAAGAGAAGGGTGAGAAATTCATGTAGTTGTTTTTTTTTTTTTTTTGTATTATAGGCATGCATGTAATCTCCATAGTGAGGCAGATATAAATAAAACCCCTTTCATTTTGTTTTCTAACTATCGTCGAACACATGATCCACTATTAGTTGAAAATCACGAAAATAAAGGAACTCATATGAAGCACTTTTGTTGAAGAAATCACATTCATCGAAGATGAAAACATTTCAACGGGGGGGAGGGGGTAAATTATTCTAACCCATGAATATTCGACCTCTGGGGATATTTTGTACTTAAGTACTGTAATCGGTGTGAACTGGGAACAGCACATAAGTCGACATGCTGTTTCCGGGATTCGAACATTGGGAGTTAAATCATGCATTTTCCTGTGAAATAATTGTAAAAATGGTGTCTCTAATGATAGTTCACTTTGAGAATTCACATTCAAAGTCACATTTTTTCCGTCGTCAATATTGAAAATTTACCCGCGGGTAATCGTAATTTGGTAGCTGAAAAATTAAATGTTCAATTTACAAAATTACATGTTAAATTTTATGGCGAATATCTTGAGCTTTTGGTACTCTTTTGAATCAGAAATGCCTAATAACTTGACTTTAGATAAAAATAAGCAATACTTAAAAGCTTATTTAGGAGGAATCGCACCATAAAATTATAATAGGGCTATCAAAATATTTAATGTGAATAATCGTTATAGTTTTAAATTCGAAGTGTTTGATCAAAATGGAATTTGTGCGCCAATTTCAGATGAAAATCAATGTGAAATTATAAATGAATTGAAAAGATTTGGTATATCCTTAAGTGATATCTCCATGAACGAAAACTGTTGTTTATGTAAAAACATGTTCCGTCGATTGTGCCTGTGAGTTATTTACTGGAGAAATTATTCTCAGCAATGAATTTCAGACTAGGATGGGCAGTTGTGAGAAAAGATCTTTTCTCAAACATTTTATTGTCTTTACATGTTAACAGCTTACAGATTATTAGGAACTTGGCACTATAGAAATTGGTGAAAAAATAGCAAATTTATATCTCGAAAGAGCAGCGAAGTTTCACTTTTTTTTACACTATCACGAGAGATGTCGATGAAAGATGTAAGTTTACCGTGGATTCAACCTTCGTTGCTTAGATGCAAACATTTAGCTGAAAAATTACTTGCCAGTTAGCTCAATTCCTTAGAAAGAAATGGAAAGATATATGATTATGAAAAATAATTTAATGATTGGCTGATTGAGGGAATAGTTAAAGAAATTTTACCTTCAAACAATATAAACACTTTTTAAGGAAATGAACGCTTTTTTTTGCTAAGGAATAGAACTATCCCTCCATAGAAGAGTGTGTAGAAAAGGCCCTAATATATTTAGATTGTTATCAGCATTCAAGGAGAGATAGATGATTTAAAAGAAATGGATAACTCAAGAAAGAAATTTTACAAATCCTACTTCAAAAGAATGACCATCGCTACTTGAAATTCCTATGTCAGAAGCACGAGAAGAAGATTATCTTAAAAATTACCTACATTGGAGGGTATGTTTTGGAATCTCTTCTTTTTTTTATTACCTTCCAGCTAATGCTCCAACCCATTTGGAAGAAGCGAATCTTGCGAAACTCCTTCTACGTCGACAATTGTGTGGTGAGTACCAAATTTAACCTTTGAAGGTGGGAGTGTTCAGCATCGCCAACATGGGCTTTAGATGAGGATAACTGATGAGAATAAACAGGACCATTATTGGGACTAAATTTGCTTGAAGATACTCTTTTCGTTGAGTTTCTTAAATAAAATAAAAAAAATGAACTGCATCCAACGAAGCGAAATATTTAATTTACACTTAATTGAATTTTTGATCCGATTACCATTTTATCTCCACTTACTTCGATATCCAAATGAATGCTACAAGAATGACTTACGAGTTGTGGCAAAAAACCAATTTGGAAATGATGAAAAGGGCTGAAAAATATGTATATTTCGGAAATTCCTAAATATCTGTTGAAAAATTTGCCCTCCGAATTTAGATTTATCCTTGCACTTATTTTGTAATGACCGTAAGACAGAATACGTACCTTTTTAAGTGTCAAAAATGAACAAGATACAACTTGTACATGCAAGGGGTAGAAGTGCATCAATTAAAACGATTCCAAAAGTTGAATCTGCATTATAGTTGCTCAGTTAACTCATACATTAAGAACTGATCTGGTTCTAGAGAATGTACCTACTACATATAGATCGGATTCCACAAATGCCTTAAAAATTGAAATTGCCTTGATGAATGAAGACACGTAACTGATTGCTTTAATCTTGCTGGCCTTCCATCAAATTGATGCAACTGCGATTAATTACTTGAAATTCTCATCTGGGGGAGGAATTAAGTTGGTTGAAACTAAAGCTCGTTCGGAAGAAGAAAAAAAAAACTGTTATATCTGGTATAAAGGCTGATTCAAATGTTTTTCAGTATCTTCTTTTCTCAAAATCGCTAGAATATTAGCATGGATCAGAAGATTTTATACAAAATGCGTAAGAACAAGAAAACTAGTGGATTAGAAATGGAGAAGGTGAAAAAAAAATTATTTTGATATTTTAGCAAAGAACAGAAACTGGAATTACAAACATTTCATGACATTGAAGGATTAATCAAAGTTAAAACTAGAATTTCTATTGAGAGAGGCGTTTCGTTATCTTATTTTATTTCCATCAAATCACCAAATTTGGAAGAAATAAATTTCTGCAAAAACATGTTGAATATTTTCATTTTGGAATACAAGTACTCGTGTTTATTTACTTACTCAATCAATCGAGCAACGCATTTAGAGCTTCTTTGACCACTGAAAACATTTTATAAGCTCTTAATTATAGAGGAGGAATACCGACGACTTTATATTCAGATAATGATACTAATTTAGTGGACACTTATAATGAATGAAAAGCCGTTGATTGGAAGTCTCAATTTAATTAGAATTTGCTAATATGATAAAGATTAAATCCTCCAACCACTTCATGGATTCTGGGAACGCTTAATTTACATGGTAAATTTCTTAAGTAAGATATCAGGAAATACTACTTTAACGTACGAAGAAAGATCATCTGTGAGTTGGAAAGCCCGTCCTTTAATCTCTCATTAGAAAGACATAGATGACTTTTTATCATGAACACCTGTGACGTTTTTGCAAGATATAAAAGAAACAGGTGTCTCAGATCTTTAGATCAAATGAATGTTAAAAACTCAGAAGAAAACATGTTTACAAATAAAAACTAAGTCATGATATATAAAAATGATTCCGCTTTGAATACCTGGGATAGCTAAGACAATTTTCTAGAAATCCTAAAGAATCTCAAGTCAAAGTTGGAGATATAGTACTGATTAGCAACATTACTATTTAGCAGAAGGGGTGAAACTTTCCATGTAAAAAAAAATTCCCTGAAATGATGGGAAAACACAAGATTGGTTCAAGGAAAATCCCAGTCCCGTTGAAATGCTGTTGCACTAGTGGTTCAAGAAACATCATTTTTCCGAATACCTTCAGCGGATAAGGATGAAGTGGAAACAGATCAAATATCTTATTGTATTCTTGCAGGTGGCTCATCACATATTGAGCCTGGATGCCAGAGTTGGCCAAAAATGTAATCGATTACATTTTTTTATTACAGTAATCAATTACTTGTAATCATGATTACACTTTTCAAAATTTTTTATTACAGCTGTAATCATGATTACATAGTCGATTACAGTAATCAATTACTTGTAATCATGATTACAACTTTCAAAAAATTTTGATTACAGCTGTAATCATGATTACAATTTTGATTACAGTAATCAATTACTTGTAATCATGATTCCAAGTAATTGCGATTACAAGTAATCACAACAAAAACGATTACAAGTAATTATGATTACAAGTAATCAAAATATATGATTACATGTAATTTGATTACATGTAATTTGATTACATGTAATTATGATTACATGTAATCTAATTACACGATTACAAGACTATTGTATTCTTATAAATGATTATATTTTACAGTAGATAGTAGAATGTATTTTATAATGATACATTTTGCACGTATTAACATGTACTGCATTTTGTACGTATTTGTATACGTACAAATGAATGTAACTGAAATGTATGTACATATGATTTTATCTAGTGCATATGTTCAGACATTTTAGTTTCACACACATGTACATACACTTATATTGTAGGTATAAAATATATGTACGTATGTATATAGATAATAATTACGTATGTATGTGCAAACAATGTAGGCATGTACATTTATACACAATGAATATATGCATTTTATGCAAATATTTGTGTATGTAAAATGTATATCTATGTTCATGTACGCATGTATATACAAGTACTTGTGTTTGTACGAACATACATACATTGTCTGTACAATGTATGTCCCATGCATGTATGTGCAATTTATTTATGAACAGTACAATATATGTATGCATGTACAATATAGGTATATCTGTAGGATGTACAATATATGTATGTATACATGTACATGATATGCATGTCCAGTGTATTTATGTACATGTACATAATATGTTCATGCTCAATGTAAGTATCCAAATATGCATAATACATTTGTGAACTATTGTACGTACATTGGGCGTATTTATATTTCACATATATTCATACATGCATTCGACATGCATAACGTACGTACATACACACATTTGAGATGCATATATTGTACAGATGTATATACATATAGCGTACAGATGTATATACATATAGCGTACAGATGTATATTCATATAATGTACATATGATGAAATGAACATATAATGTTCATATAATGTACATATGTGTGTACATATACAGTACGTATGTGCATAAATATATTGGGCATAATTCTTTCGTACAAATTTTACATGTGTACATGCATGCTATCCCTATCTATGCATATGGTGCAATGTATATATGTACAATGAATGTATCCACACATGTACAATACACGTATGTTCCATGTATGCATATCCATATGTACTATATATGCACGTACAATACATGAATGTATGTACATACATTGTACATGCGTACATACATTACACGTATACATATGTACATTACATTTATGTCTAAATATGTGTACAATGCAATAAATAAAATGCATGTAAGTTAACTTTTAATGACTCAAGCAAGTTAAATGACAAAATCAAACGATATTTAAATTTAGTTTTCAGCTTTAATTGTTCTATATCATTTTGAAATTCTCTGAATAAAAAATTATTTTCAGGTATTTTCATGAAATGTTTGACAATACAGATTTATTTTTTTTATAACATAATGCATGATTCATAGAAATTTTTTAAATGGTAAGAAAAACGGTAAATTTTATGTGTGGAATTAATATTTAGAAATTCCAAATAAAATTATCGTTTGCTTTCTAAAAAATATGAGGTCGAGTTTCATATACCTTAGAATAATTTTAAAACAAATTTTAATAACTTTACTCATATAAATTTTTTTAATGTATGCACAATGTATGTGTATATTGTAATTACATATATTTAAATGTACGCACGTATTTGTACATTACTTGTAATTATGTACATGTATACGTTGTATGCACATGCATACATTGTGCATATAACTATTTTTTTGTACATCCATGCATTACATGCGCATAAGTATTAACAAAGTATGTAGTTATACAAGTACATACGTAAGTTGTACATAAGTACATACTTTGCGTGCACATATATCGATGTACATATAAATATGCATGTATACATGTACGCATTTTATTTACGCAACTATGTGCATATATTGTACCTTTAAATAACATTTTTACATATTGTACGCAAATACGTACAATTTTATATACAAACGTACATTGTATATACGTGCTATTATCGTAAATTTATACAATATATGCACTTAAGTACATAAAAGCATGCAAACGCATAAACATTATTTTCATATACGTTCATACATACATTGTCTATGTATACAAAGATACAAAACATTGCCTTTTTGTACAAACTAACATACATGCGTACATGTATCATAAATGCATAATTATATGTACTAAGCATATGCGCATTGCATTAAGTATATTACAATATAATTATGAATATTGTACGTACAAACAACGTTTGTGCATACATTGTATGTATAGGAATCGCAAATTGTACGTTCATGCGTGCGTACATTCTATGTACATAAAAATATGTAAACACATGAATACTTACATAAAAAATTTGACTATAGTATACAATCGTAATAACTTGTAATCGTATAGTTTGATTACAAGTAATCACAATTACATGTAATCAAATTACATGTAATCATGATTACATGTAATCATATATTTTGATTACTTGTAATCATAATTACTTGTAATCGTTTTTGTTGTGATTACTTGTAATCGCAATTACTTGGAATCATGATTACAAGTAATTGATTACTGTAATCAAAATTGTAATCATGATTACAGCTGCAATCAAAATTTTTTGAAAGTTGTAATCACGATTACAAGTAATTGATTACTGTAATCAAAATTTTTTGAAAGTTGTAATCACGATTACAAGTAATTGATTACATAGCTGTAATTATCTGTAATCAATTACAGTTGTAATCGATTACTGTAATCAACGGCCAACTCTGCTGGATGCTATCTCGTCATGGATGATAGCTGCTATCTACAAAATGAATGGGTTTGTGAAGTTTTTGTTGAGTTTTGTTCCACTTCGAAACTCAAGGTGGAAGAGGGTTGGAAAATCGACCATGCTTGGTTCATGCACATTAATACATTATTAATTTATGCATGCATTATTTATTTTAATTGTAAATGAAGCGAATTCTCTCTGTTTGCACATAGTGATCGTCATTAAATGTCCTATGTTTATGTAACTTACACTCAGTTTAATTTAAACGTCAAAACAAAGAATCATTCAGCATTTCGTTCGAAATTCAGACCTGGTTTCTTCCAATTTATGAATGTAGAAAAATTTCGGCATTCATATTAAAATCTACACAAGTTTTAATTATAAGTGACGAAATATTTCGAAGTCATTAAAACTTTCAATCGGAGACATTTCAAATAACTGCGTCAGAATATATTTTATGGACTCTATTTTTAATGTTTTTTTTAACACTGTTTCTACTAGTCCGTTCGACAATATTCAACTGACATTTTTTAGCAGCTGACACTAGAAATTACCATTAGGCATGCGTACTGGAACTATCCGGACGAATACATTGATAATTATTACATTGATCAAACTTCATTGGTAACTATTAATAATCACCGGTAAATGTGATAAATTCCAAAATATTTATCGCTTTAATCGACTTACTTGATTATCATTAAACCACCTTCAGTCGGTTAGTTATAATAAGCGAAGAAGTTTTTTAATTAAAAAAATTCCTATTCATTCTAGATAAAAATCAGCACAGTTCTGCTTTGGGATATTTGAAACAGAGTGGAAATTTCGGAATACATTTGCTTGTATCAATGACAGAACTTATAAAAGGTAAGTTTATTACATTCATTTTTAAATACTAGTTAAAATTATGGAACATTAATCGGTAATTTTTTCCGAAATGTTGTTGATTGGCAGAAACAGTGCTCGGAGTAAATCATTTTACAGACCTTCAAAATTGTAGAATGTTTATGAACTAATAATCACAATGTTCAGATCACCAAAAAACGATTGGATCCATTGCGATCAAATTGGAGAGTATCCTGACATGCAGAAAATATTGCAACATTAAACAAAATATAATAAAAAATAAATAAACTACGTATTTAAAAAAAGTACTTTAAGTAGCCTTTTGAATAACTGCGCTGAAGTTAAGCCACAGAATGAGCTCCCAAACTAAGTATGTACTATAAAATTTTCGATATTTATTTTTAATCAAAATTATAATTTCTATTATGGTTATCTTTTGAAAAATAACATTTTTTTAGCAATATATCATTATGTGGTCATTATTCTGTGTGTGTGTGCGTGCGTGCGTGCGTGCGTGTGCGAAAAAGAAAAACAAAGCGAAGGAGGTCAAAAAGAAACGAGCAAAAAAGAGTGTGCAAGTATTAAGAACTCATAAAATAAGTTAAAAATATAAAGACAACATGGAAAATAATATAATAATTAATGGAAAAAGAAGAAGAAAAATTATTAAAATATTTTCAAAAATATTTTTAAAAAGAATGTATTTAAAAAAAATATATGAAAAAGTCGGAAGACAAAATAATGAAAAGATATAATCTCGTCATCCACTTACACGATTTTTTAAGGCAATCCTTTTGCTGATATAGTCGTGTGAGTTGATGACGAGATTATATTTTTTCATTATTTTATTTTCCGGCTTTTTCATATATTTTTATAAATATATTTCTTTTTAAATATTTTTAAAAATATGTTATTCTAATAACTTTTCTTCTTTTTCCATTAATCTTTGTTATATTATTTTTCATGATTTCTCTATATTTTTAGCTTTTATATATAAATATATATATATATTTATATATAAAAGCTAAATATTGGAAATACTTAGGCTGAAGTTATTTAAAACAGTGTTCGTTGGATATTTGCATGGATTACATTGGTGGGGTTTCCATAGCAGGGATGTTGGGATTTGGCGCAGATTTATTTAGCCATGAAAAAATGAAAAAGCTGTTCCTGATATTTAAACGGGGATTCTGAAAAGCGTGCTGGTTGCTAGAGTATCCTTATCTTAATGAAACGACATTCAAATGATAAAATTTAGAGATTTTGATTTGCTAAAAGGCAGGGGCCACTCTGACGCTGGGGGATTTCTGGGACTATCTTAATGCGTACTTCATCTACGAATTATTGCCCATTAACTACAGAAAATAATCTTTTACCTGACATCTTGACTTTTTATAGCTCTTTGTGAGAGAACGATTTCCATATCTTAAAATTGATTATATATATTGATTATATAATTGATTATATATTAAAATTGATTATATATATATTGATTATATATAGATTAT